AAACTTACCCTACAACCCTATCGTTATCAAGATCAGCTACTTCCAAGTCCACATTTGTCATCTTTCTCGAAAGAACCCATTGCACCAGCTCCTTCTGTTTCCTTTCTGTGTTAAATTCAGCTACATAAAGGAAGAACTGAGCCAAACAAATGGTGCTGGTCAAAATCCAGAATATAGCAAAAATACGCCCCACTTTAGTTGAGAAACTTTTGTCTCCATATCCTAGTGTTGTGATGGTAGAGCAGACACAATAAAAGGCATCAATGGTACTTAACTTTTCTACCTCGGCAAGGAACACCGTTCCAACAACTATTAGCACCACAAGAGTGGCTGTTATGACGAAGCACTTGTACCTTACTTTGTTGGTTTCAACTTCCTCTAGAATAACACTTGGGCCAACTTTATCACGCATATGCAATGCTTTGATTAATAGTGTTTCCTGTTTCTCCACTAGGTAGTCTGCTCCTTTACTTAGAACCATTCCAACAAGTGCCATTCCGGAGAAAACAAAGAAAGAAGCAAGCAGTTTAGTAGTTGAGCTGTTAGGCACAAGGTCCCCGTATCCAACAGTGGTCATTGTTACAACACAGAAGTAGACAGAATCGAGTACTCCATTTACTTTCTTTCCCTGGATCTGGTTCTGAACAAAGTAAAAGCATGTGGTACCAATTCCCAAGTATATAACCAGGTACAGAATGACTTTCCTAAAACTTGGATGTAGTTTATTCAATATTGACTCGTAACGTGGGAGTGATTGGTCGTCCTTTATGTCATTCATTTCTCCAGGAATAAATTCCGGCATAGGAGCACTTTTAAGTCGACGAAGTCTTCTTCTCCTTGAATCAACATTTTGAAGGGTTTTAGGCAGCTGGTCTAATAAGGGCTGATTAATGTTGCTGCCCGCCATTCCACGCAGAATCAACTGCCTCTAGAGACCCTGAGAGAAATTAAGGATAAGAATGTGGAAGTCCTCTAAGTTCACTAATTAATCCCAACGAATTGAGGCTTTTTGTCAGAGAAGCTCAAATTTTAGGACACAAGAAAACAAACAAGATTAACAACAAAAACAAAATCCAATGTAATCCCGCAAGTGAGGTTCATGGAGGGTAGTGTGTACGCAGACCTTACCCCTACCTTGAGAAGGTAGAGAGATTATTTCCGGTAGGCCTTCTGCTAAAAACTAACAAGATTATAACATAATAATAATAAGACAACGTTCTCACATCTATGCGTGAAGAAATCAGAATACTGTATGGATCTGACATACACACATAATAAAACTGTAATGAACTTGTCAGCATACTACATCAGCAAAAGATATGGTTTTCAGTACATGATACCACACAATTATAATGTAACTTATGTTGGCATCATGAAGCATATGATAACTTATGTATGAGATCATCATCGATGCTCTGGCTAGCAAATAGTTTCTGGCATGATTTACCAGTCGGATCTTCCTACGTATTACACTCTTATCAACTAATTCTAAGATTATTAGATGTAGAGCCTGATCAAGTCCATGTCAATATTAATCATAAAGTCTAACTAAAACTCGAAGAACTCCAGTTTTTCCTCATCTAGCTAGTTCTAGGTAAGACAGTGGATTAAGGATTTGAAGCTTACAGCTCCGGAATACTAATCCTTTGAAGTTACTAGATTGTAAATTTATAAATTGTGCAAACTACATGGACTTTCAGCATTGAGCAAAAGTTAGTGGATTCTGCCGAACCCAAACCATAGATAGTACATCCACCCCAGGTTTCATGATGGCGGGAACCGAATGGAGACAACAACAGTAAAAAATTAAGGTGTAAGAACCAAATTACTCCCTATTTAGAATCAAAGAAGAACCATTAGATGTTATACACACAATTTCACAAGCTAGAGTAAACGGGTTTAGAGTGAGTAGATATATACGTTATCCACAACTTTTTTTTAAAAAAAATTGTTTTTCTTGTAACGGTGATGTCCAAGTCAACTTACGCACAACTCAATTATAACACCAGATGCTTATTAACTCCCACCAGCATCAACATTGGGGCACTCTACAAGAGGCGAATTAAGAACTTGAACTTTATGGTTTGAGCTCGAAATTCTTCCACAAACCATTTGATTTAATGGGTTCGAAATCTATTATTTGTATTTTGTAATAAATGTTTTAACACATATACAAAGGTCCAAGCTAATTCCTCCTCCATATCCGCCCTTGATTTACTCTGCTCACCAAGTCTTAGATTGGAAGTAATCAAATACTACATAGATAGTTTATCCAAAAGCATTTCTCATTTATATTGCTTGGACAATTCAAAAATAATGTCAGGGTGTGTCGGATCCTTTAAAAGCTATGCAATTTTCCAAGTGTCCAAGCAACATAGGCCGATTAAGTACTTGAACTTTATGAGTTCGAGTTCAAAATTCTAATACAACCCATTTGATTTACCGGATTCAAAATCTATTATATTTGTACTTTATAATAAAAATGTCAATGTATATACAAGGTCTAAACTATTATATATCCTACATCCACCCCGGATTTACTATGCTCACCAAGTCTGAGACAAATTTGGAGATATTAAATACTATGTGATTTTTTAAAAATTAGAAAAGTTTGAACCATTTCTCGATTTGTGTTAGTATCATGTTTCTCTGTATCGTTTCAATTTTATTGAATTTTCCCGAAGATACAAAAATACTATGTGATTTCAATTTTGATTTTGATTTTGACCATCCAAGCAACAGAGTTTATCATAATGTAGATCCACCTTCTTTCACAAATAAATAAATAAAAAAAGTTATTCAGCTATAACTTGCTGCAGAATTTCATCAAACTTATCAAAAAAAATTAATTAAAACAGTAATGTAAAATCAAATACTCAAAACTACAACACTGAGTATAGATCTAAGCAACAAAAAAGAAAAAAAATCATAAATTACCTGGAGAAAAAAGTTATTAACTCTGTTGAAACTTGTGCTTCTTTAGTAAACTGTACATTCGATTTCTTCGTCAAAAAGAAGTGCAGATTCACAGTTGATTAGTATAAGAATATCAGATATTCATAGAGTGATCTGCTGCTGTTTTCAAGCTTCGTTGACAATTTTAATGGCGATTATCATTGCCTCATTATTTTGTTTATAATATTACAAATTTAGATGTAGACATTTTGAATTAAATAATTTTGTCAAAGAAAGAAAGAAGCTGGCAAAAGTGGTCCCACTCGTTCGGTGTTCACATTAGAGTTCGAACACATTTGGACGGTAAGACTCAAATTCGAAACCTTTTAGCTAAATGAAGGAATATTTATCACAGTGTTATGTTAGGTTTTATTTATTCTAAAAATCTTATCAAAAATTGGTTTTTCTTTTAGGAAAAGTTTTTTGATTGACTATTATTTTTTTAGTAGGAAAAAGTTTAGAACTCTATAAATAGAGTCATGTTCCTTCTAACTTAATCAGCATTTACAATGCAGTCTTAAAGGTTTTGAGAGTTTTGACTAGGGGGAGAACTTATGAGTCACAAGTTTGATACGTTATCACTTGTGTGAACCTCCCATGTATTTCGAGTGAATTGGTTAAGGTTGTTTCTCTCTGTATTTTGTACTATCATATTTATAGTGGATTTGCTCATCTCATTTGTGGACGTAGGTTGATTGACCGAACCACGCTAAGTCTTTATGTCTTTTGGTATATTTCTCGTTGTCTTCTTATTCGTGGTCTTTTAAGGTTTGCTTTGCTAGCTTCCGCGTTTACACCTGCTTATTTTCGGTCCTAACATGTATCATAGTCCTTGTTGATATGAGTTTTGATTTTATTGTTTTGATCATTATTCTTCCAGTTCAATAATAGTCGTCCACTTGACGAAATTAATGAACAATGTTATAGTTAGTTTTTAATTTATCCTAATAATTAATTATACTCATTTTCTTATTACATTTTTCAATACATGGTATTTACTATATTCAATGAGTAATATTGTAAAATTATCCTTCTATTTATAATTTCTTAAGAAATGTACAAAATCAATCGTGGATAAGTATTATTTAATAAAAAGAGTACATTATTTTGTTGCTATTATTTTCGTATTACTTTATTACTATATATTTTTCACTATCATTTTTTCTTTCTATTATTACTTTAATTTGTTATATTCGAATTGACGATCTTTCGAAGGTAACTTCTCTATTTTCACGGGATAATTATTGTACACTCAGTCTTTCTCATACTCTATTTATGTGATTTCGATGATATGTTGTTGATTTTGTTCCCTTATTAGAGTAAAACAACTCTAACAAACTCATTTGACAATAAAATATAATTTTAAATATAAAATGAGTAAAAATTCATTTTTATTATTAAAGAAGAGAGATTCAATCGCTAAAAAGCTAATAAAAAATATATAGTTTGATCTTCTTTATATATTTGTGTCATATTTTGAAACAGAATGTTGAAAAAGAATATCGCTCAATTAAAATATAAAATATAGTGTCAACTTTATGAAATCACGAATCAATTAGATCCCTCTTTGATACAATGACGATGTGGACAACCTTTCATTTTGAACATTATAATTGTTTAGCTTATATCTTAAAAGAGGATAATTCAATTTAAATATAACAGATAATTGAATGTATTTTGTATATTATTAGAGTTCTTATGAAAATTTAATAGTTAAAAAGCAAAAGTCGCACATCTTATATACTCCCTCGGTTTAAAGATATTTGTCATGTTATGTTTATCGAAAGTTAATTTAATTAATTTTTAAAGGTAAATTAGATCACATTAATTCAATATTTAAAAAAAAAAATTAGATATGTTAAAATTATATGAAAAGTACTATAAATTATAATTTTTTTCATATTAATATAATGAAAAAATACATATCTTAAAATGTTAGTCAAAATTTGTATAGTTTAACTGTAAAAATAAAAATCATTGTAAACAATACCGGAAGGAGGAATATTTTTTTTCTTCGTAACTACAAATACAAAAAAGTCAAATCCAAAAACCCTACTTCTTTCTTCTCTGTAAGAAAATTTCATCTTCTTCAGCTTATTAAACCCTAGCAATGTCTGCTATTGCTCGATCGAAATCGCGCATCTTCTCCATAATTTCAAGGAGCAATCGGCGATTTTCTTCAAGTGTAGCTTCAGAACCTCCAAAGGAACCGATAATTTCATCGTCTTCTCTGCTCAAAGATCAGGCTCCGCCATCTCAGAATCCTCCTCCTCCTCTGGAATCTTCTGTAGCTGAGAATAAATCATGGAGTTTTCTCAAGTACAGTGTTATTGCTGCTGTTACCGGTGGTGTTGCCACAGCTGGTTACGCTACCTATGGTTCGTTTTTTTTTTTTTTGGTTTATTCGCTGAATTAGAACTTTGTGTTCTGTTATTTGAATTCTCATTTGAATGCTAGCATGATTTGGATTTTGAAATGAAGTGAATTGAAATGGATATATAGGATTCTTATAACGGGACCTCAACTATTTTGGACTCTAGGTGGTTGATTGATTACCTCGACTAATTCAACGGGACACCTCTGACCTTCCACCAGCAACACTTAACTCTGTCCACCAAAGCTAGGACAGATGGGAAGAACTTACCTAATGGTTTTGTCTCTGCTAGTATTTGAACATGAGACCTTATGGTTCTCAACCACTTTATTAACCTCTAGGACATACCCTTGGGTGCTAAATGATCTTCTTTGTATGTGCTATTATGTGAATAGAGTGATTTGTGAAGCAGTTTGATAAAAAATCCTGCCAGAGTTTTTATAATGGGACCACAACTATTTTGGACTCTCTGTGGTTGACTGATTACCTCGACCAGTTCAACAAGATACCCCGGACCTTCCACCAGCAACACTTAACTCTGTCCACCAAAGCTAGGACAGATGGGAAGAACTTACCTAATGTTTTTGTCTCTGCTAGTATTTGAACATGAGACCTTATGGTTCTCAACCACTTTATTAATCTCTAGGACATGCCCTTGGGTGCTAAATGATCTTCTTTGTATGTGCTATGTATGTGAATAGAGTGATTTGTGAAGCAGTTTGATAAAAAATCCTGCAAGAGTTTGCAAAGTGTATGTATTACCTGCTCAGGCACACCATTCACATGTTTTTTTTTGGGTTTCTAAATTGTGAAATATGGATTTAAACACTTGAGTTATATGGATTTGGATTGAACTCTAATGCAAACTCTGGGAGTTTCAATTTTTTGGTCTGATATTGTAAGAGTGGATTGTGACGCTTCTTGGGAGGATTTGGAAGTATTCACTGGGCAGTGCTGTAGCAGTAGCACTTGCTTAAGTGTTGCATCTTAAATTTTGATGATCTGAATCTAAGAAAATTCAGTGAAAATTGCCAACTTACAGAAAAAACTTAACTTATTGTTTCCGTTATCATTCATTCAACTCTGGATCTTGCAATTGTTCTCATCTCCCATCAGCTTTTATTTGCTTAGTGATGTAGTCATACCTTTATAACTCCAGTTAGTTCTCTCCATGCAAAGTTCCAGCTATGAAGCAAGTATTACTGTGCAGTCTCTATCTAAGATTTTTATCTTTTATTGGTTAACATGTTTGCTGGATACCAAATCAGTTGTAGTATACTTGATTTTTAGTTTATGTTGATCAAGGTGGATTTTGGTCTAATGTATGAAATGGACTTGTATGTTTATATATATCGTCTCTGTGTATTTGTTATCATGCATATAATTCCATAATCTTTGACATATCCTTTATCTACAGCATACACAACGGATGAAATTGAGGATAAGACCAAAAGTTTGCGTGAATCTGCGAAATATGCTGTTGGAGATGATGCATCTGCTTTGGATGTGAGTCTTGCCTTACATATATTGAGTATTACATATTTACTTATTGTGAACTTTTGGTGAACCTGTGCTTGTTTGAAATTAAGATTTTGACACACACAGTACAGACATATATTCTGCCTGATGTGGTGGCGGGGGAAGGTTGCTCTACTTATTGCTAATTCAGTAAATGCACTTAGCTTCAACTGATCAACATGATTCATGTTCACCGTTTGTGCCTATTTCTGCAACAAATAGCTAATCATGGATTGCTCAAAATTTAGATCGGAATCTTAATGAAATGATAGAATTTGTTAATAAATTTAGAGCCCAAATCGCATACTAAACTAATAAACAGCCTATAGAGTATATGGCTTATCTTATATGCATGGGTTCTTTTACTTCAAAAGAAATTGGTAGTTGTATTAGAGTGCTAGTAGAATGAGAGGTTAATTGTTTTCTTTTCTGTGCAGAAATTTCAAGCTTTACTATACTCCTCGGCGATGACAGGTTGGTGATGATTCATACTTGTCTTCGGTACATATATCTTGTTTTAGTCAAAAAGGGGTTGAGTTTTCTTATTTGTGTGGTTCCTTGTGCGCATGCATGTCAACAATAATTATGCTATCACAAACCATTGTCTCTATCGTATAACACTTACTGTTTCTCGGAGAGAAAACCGCTGTCTCTATTGTATGTATTATGTACTATCATTATAGACATACTCTTGTTTTCAACAATGCTCTTCCATTTTAATGACACAATTCAAGCATTAGTTTGTTATTATTTACTTTGCATGACATTTCTGTTACCTGGTCACTAGTCAGTACATTGTGGCATGCAAAAGCCTGTAATGGATTCAGATTATGCGCTGTGTCACTTTGCCACATGGAAGTATCGGCTGCTGGGATGTCTGTCCTGCACTTTGTAGAGTGTGATTGATTTATGGGTCTGTCCATGCATTGTCTTATTGGGGCTTACGATTTAAAGACACAGCTGTTGAGTTAGTCCATGGGTTTATTTATATTACACATCCCACTGCTAGTATGCTTAGTAATCTGCTGGGCAATGCTGAATATTTGCATGCTATAATACGTTTTCTTAATGCTGGTGTATAGTATTATCGTACATGCATTACAAACTTATTGTTAATTTTAAGCCCCAATATCTCTTTTTAACTGATATTTGTTCTTTTTTTTTGTTGATATTTCAGTGCCTGCGAAGTTAGTTGAGTTATACATTGAGTTAAGGCGGTTGACAGAAGACCAAGTTCGAGTTGAGTTTCTTAACAGGCATTTTTAGTTTTTAAACCCCTTTCTTCTTATGCTTCATCCTTCAGGAAATTCACCTAAGATCTTTTTTGCTATGTTTTAGGGTTTTAGTGAACCAACATCAGACAAGCTCCTGCCAGATTTGCATCCACTTGAGCAACATGTCTTCACTCTTGTTCTCGATCTTAGTGAAACATTGATATACTCTGATTGGAAGGTAGAAATTCAAGTCATAAACATATTGTTAATTAGTGGCCTAAACTTGCTTTACTTTATTTTATGGATCAATTCTAGTACAATAAGTTGACGATTCCTTATGGGTTTTACTTCTGATATATTTTGTGTCCTCAAAGCATTTATATCTTTCCATCTTTTAATGTTTCCTGCCTGACTACTGACTTCTGGAGTCCTTTATAAGCGTGACAGAGGCTGGAGAACATTCAAAAGACCTGGGGTTGAGGATTTTTTGGAATATTTGGCTCAATACTTTGAGATTGTCGTATATTCTGATCAACTAAGCATGGTACATTTTACTTCCCTCATAATGTTTTCTAAATATTGTTTCAGTTATGTGCTTAAAACTTGTGCTTGTGGTTTTTGCAGTATGTTGATCCTGTTATCGAAAGATTGGATCCAAAGCACTGCATCCGGTACAGACTATCAAGAGGTGATACTAGATATGTTGATGGCAAACATTTCAGAGTAGGTCTTTTTGGCCTCATCCTCTTAATGCTCCAGTGAAAATTATGTTTCTTATTATTTATATTTGTCATGTAGCTGCAATGTCATTCCAGATCTCTTTTTCTTGATATTTTTCTGCCACTGTATTTGGATTGAACCAAGAAAATAGTGCCATTGTGGGCTTTATGTCATTCTTGTAGGAACGGATTTTTTATTGCCCAGAATTCTCGTTCCCCCACTTTCATACTTCTTTTTCGAAGTCTTAGCTCCAAACGATTAACTACTAGAGAATACTATTTCTAGAAGGGTTCTTTAGTTGTAATGGTGCCCTCCGGCAAAAAGCTTACGCTTTCTGTTCACAGCGTCCTTGCCCCCCACCTAAGAGTTGAGAGCTTATTTCAAGTTGCATGGTACGGAGAATGTGGTTTGTATGTCCCTGGATGGGCATTAATATGGAGATGGGGAACCCCATTTATAGATTCATACTAGAGAATGTGGCAAGGGAGAGGATAATTAACCTGTCAATACGGGAAAAATTGAGTTGATTGACTAAAGTGAAATTATTTCAGCTCTCTGATGTTATTGACCGATCAAACATCAGAGTACTATGTCTGGTCCATTAGAAATAGAACGCGACGAAAACTTCCGGTTTAACTAATTGACACAAGTGAATACGCAAAACTAGGCACCTAAAGGTATGACCTAGTATTCAATGAAGTGAGAAAGACCTTGGAGACTGGGGTTCAAATCCTAGCAAAAACAAAAGAACACGAGGTGCTTTCTGCCCATCTGCCTAGGTCTTAGTTAGCAGAATTTCCATGTAAATGTGCTTGTGGAGAGTAGTAGGTTTAGCTAAAATGTGTGCAAGCTAACCTAAGCACCACCGTTATTAAATACACACAAATCAGAGAAAATTATCATGATTATTGCAAGTCCTTGGCAATAATTATGTTCGACACTGTACGTTGGAGGGACTTCATTCATTAGGAGGGGAAATATTTCTAGATCATTTGATCTGTTATAGCATACCTTAACATTCTTGGAATTGAGACACTGTAGTAGTTGTTATATTTGATTGACTATGCAAGCAAACAAAATAGCACATAGAAATTAATTTACTGTGAGGACACATTGGAGTCGTTTGGTTGATCATATTGAAATTTTTACTCCCAACATAAATCCCACTAATATAATACAATTTTTCGTTGACTGCCTAAGAAATATAATCACTGCATGACTAATGCAACATTTGGTTAGCGGTATTAAATAGTTCCTGCATTAGTTTTTTGCGGGAATTCGTGTATACTTGCTGCTAGATAGAACATGGAATATAAAATTTGTATTAGTAATGCATACATAAAATTATTTAAAGATAAAATGCCTTCTCAAAGTAATCCGCCATATATAACAATCTCTATATTATTAATCACCACATAAATAATCACTGTGTTGTAATCCTGCATAACTAGTATGCGTCCCAATTAACAATGTAAAGGAGAGCTGACCTTTTGCTACTAAGCTTTTGTAACTATTATGCATCTACTTGATGCCTACAATAGAACTAATTACTTCATTAAAAAAAACTACTATGCGTCCCAAAGAGCTCCTTAATCTATAGATTCATTACTATTATTATTATTATTCTATGACTACAAATATGGGAACAATACTAAGACCCATTTCTTATTCAATAAGCAAATGGAACTTCTTTTGAAACTTGAGCATTGATTTATTAAATATTAATATAATTATTACTGTGAGCACATCACCATTGGTCTTGTGGTTGAATAGTACACTGCCTTGGTACAAGCCTATGTTCGTTTTCCAGACGGTGCACTCCCTTTTTCTACTGATTTTGATATGCTTTATTTGGAGGTGAGGGTCCATCGGAAACGACCTCTCTACCTTCACAAGGTTGGGGTTAAGACTGCGTAAACACCACCATTCCGCATCCCACTTGTGGGATTACACTAAGTATGTTGTTGTATTGTGAGCACATTTAAATGGTGTTTGGATTGACTTATTTTAAGTAGCTTTTGGCTTTTAAGCTTTTATTTTTTATTTTGGAGGTGTTTTGGAAAGACAAAAAGTGCCTTTAAGCACTTACTTTTAGGCCACAAAACTACAAAAATAAGCTAAAAGCTAAAAATTGGGTATGACCAACTTACAGCTTTTATCTTTTATCTTGGAAGTTACTTTAAAAGGCCAATCCAAAAGCCCCCTTAGTCACTAGACTCCTTTCTAGATTATTCAATTGACTAGAATGTGGAGACCAGAAAATTATACTATTCTGAGGCAAAATAGAGGAAGGAGAACTTGTCCAAACTCTGTTTAGTTAAAAGCTAATCCTTGACTGTCAATGTTGTTTTAGTGTGGCAATTTCACTTGATTTAAGAAAAAGGGATGCAGTCTTGTAGCAGCATAAGATAGATGTTGTAGTATGGTAAGTATTTGATTAAAATCATGGGTACAGTATAATGAAGAGCAAAAGATGTCTTACATATGTATGAGTAGTCTAACTAATTTTTGTGACAAGTATGTATTGCTTTTATGCATTTGCTTCATGGATAATCTCCAGTGTAATTATGTTGTATCTCCTTTTTTGGTCTTCTACTGAAGAAGAGGGGGTGATTGCTTATAGAACATAGGGGAGACATGATCAGGTTAGAAAGAATCAAGAGGCATGCAAATTAAACAGGTCACAACTATTTTAATATTTTAGGAAGGCTAAAGGAGACAAATTCAGATACATGATTGAGGATGTAAAGTTCTCCTGTGGCTGTTTTGCATGGTAAAATGGATAGATTCTGTTTTTAGATACCACTGAGTTTATAGCTAAAATGCTTTGCTGATCCAGGACCAAATCTGCTATCCTTGTGGAAAATTTTTACATGATATTAACATTTCGAAGAGTGAATGAATGTTTAATGTTGACAGTGAGAATAGAAACTTAGTAAGAGTCTAGACACTTGTAGAGTTCTTGAACCATGCTTAGCCGGAAGGCTTAAGCTTTTGGTTAGCTATCAAACATAGAGCATTTGTCTTGATCTTTGTATTAGTGTGTAAATGCATGCTTTCTTCTAAATAGGCCTTTTGACTCTTCACCTTAGCCCATTGGAAATGTTCAAATCACATATAACTTGGTCAGAGGGCTTGACTTAGTACGACCAGCATTGAATCTCATCTCCCGTCATCCATGTAATGTGAATGTTTCTACATGTGATTGCTTTAGTTTCTGTACATTCTATGCAATATGCTTTAGATTCTACATGAAAATCTATAAGAAAGATTTCTCTTGTTTTTTTAAAAAATAATTAAAATACATTTACACATCTTTTTCCTCTTTTGAATCATTTGCAAATAATATAATGATTGTGAATCCCATATTGGGTCATTTGCTTCTTTTGTCAGGATCTTTCCAAGTTGAATCGGGATCCCTCAAAGATAATATATTTGAGTGGACATGCACTAGAAAGTAGCCTACAACCAGAAAATTGCTTAGAAATAAAACCTTGGAAAGGAGAGGCTGACGATACTGTGCTTTTGGATCTTATTCCATTTCTTGAATGTAAGCAGATTTTTAAGTGACGTTGCCTAGTTGTATTTTTGTTTTTGGGAGTACTCGGAGGTCCCTGTTAATGACTACTTGATTTTTGAGTGCAGACGTTGCTAAACACAGGCCAGCTGATATCCGAGCTGTATTAGCTTCATACCAAGGACGTGATATTCCTAAAGAGTTTGTTGAGCGATCTAAAGAGCACCAAAGGTCATGTTTCCCATGTTTTATTTTTCAGTACTTACTGGCTATTCCATTGCATTACAAATCCTCAACACCCTGTGTCTTAGGATGCTTCTGTTTTTGTCTTGAATTTTATTCATGAAGTTTGCCTCTTCATATTGTTCCCCCTTTGCCTTTTCTCCTCTGTCCCTAGAGTCAAATAAATGTTATGAATACATGTCTTCTTCTTTATTAGTATATGGGATTGGGGGACTGACTGGAGGGGGGTTTACAGGTGTAGTCTAACTTCGTCTTGTACATTGGAAACATAAATTGATTCTTTGCCCCACAGTCCCGGATAATTGTAGCCATTTGAGCTGTGACTTCTATATTCTCGCCTTTTAGTTTCCTTTCGAGTTACCCTTTCCCCTTACGGAGTGAGAGGTTGATGCATTTTTCCCTATCTAGTATTTGCGAGAGAGGTGGAAGTTTTAATCCACCCCCACCTAAAAAAAGAATCTTAGAAAAAATGCAAAAGAAAGAATGAAAGGAGTACTAGCGGGAAACTTAACCGAATAAAATGGTAAGCGGGTTGAATGAGCTGCAAAAAGCTTTGAATCTCTAGAGGCACACGTTGTTTTTCCTTCTTCCTGGCTGATTTATCTGGAAATGTCTTCATCTAGTTTTTTGGGTAAGCTGTGTATTAGAGTCACAGTGGATAATTCTGTTTAATGTATTTTTGTTTGACTGAGCGTATTTGAGATTTGTCGTTCCCTAAATTAATTTCTGTAATATCAACTTACTACTTCACAGTCGAAGGTGGTTTGTCTCAGCAAACCTGTCTACTTTTCAAGCTGCAAACTATGTGCCTCCAACTATATTTACATCTCCACTCTGCTTTAATAACTTTTATTTCATAATCTCCAACTTGTACCTTTCCTATTTGTGCACTTTAATTTGTTTTGACCCCTTATTATTGTTGGTGTCTATGTTGCTCGAACTCCCCAAAATTATTGCAATAACCGTGTCTGACACACAACCATCGACATAGTCTGAACGACATAGATTTGTCTCAGCCAAACCTCTTTTCTTTCGATCTGCAAACGCACTATTGCATCTTCACTCTTCTGTATTAGTATTCTTTCATGTGCCTTTCCTATTTAGACACTATTTTTCTTGATGATCTTAACGTATCTGGTGGTTGCAGGCGTATGCAAGAGCAAAAGCAGCATGGTCGATTATGGCGCCGCTAGAGATATGAGTTGGTTTTTGAGAGGCATAAATTTTAAAAAAAAACAACCTAAAAACTATTCCTTTGTAAGATTTAGAATAGTTGATAGATAGACGTAATACTACAATCCCATTTTTGTGTAGCCAAAATATTTGTGCCAGTTGAGAATAGTTGATCCTCTAACAACATGCCTGCATTCTTTTTCTCTTTGGTAATAATTAAGAATGTCAATGTTTGTGGGAGCAGCTGGTTGATTCAGTATGTATTATTCTCTGAATTTCAAGACATTAAGATTGCATCATATGATTCATAAGATTTACTTATATGGAATATTGACCACTATGGTTTTCTTTTCTACCGGTAAGAGTGCAATACATGGTGTGTGGGTTACGTGCATGTGAGGTTCCGAAAGCCTGCTTGATATTTAAGTGGAGAAGAGTATGAGTAGATGGGTAGAATACCTGGTGTGTGGGTTACGTGCACGTGAGGGTTCCAAGTTATTGCGGATGGAAGCCTACTTGATATTTAAGTGGAGAAGAGTATGAGTATGAGTAGATGGGTAGAATACATGGTGTGTGGGTTACGTGCATGTGAGGGTTTCAAGTTATTGCGGATGCAGCCTACTTGATATTTAAGTGGAGAAGAGTACGAGTAAATGGGTAGAATACATGGTGTGTGGGTTACGTGCATGTGAGGGTTCTAAGTTTTTGCGGATGAAAGCCTACTTGATATTTAAGTGGAGAAGAGTATGAGTAGATGGGTTGATTCATTATTTATCGAGTTTTTAATTGTCGTCATTTGAAGTATGAGGTTGTCCTTTCTCCTACTCAGAGAGACAATTCACTAGCGTTTTGGTGATAAAGAGTTTGAAATTTTAACTTCAAATATCTGCTTAGCCGTGAAATTTGATTAGATTTATTTTATCTTCAAATATTTCTCACGTTCCTAAAATTGATTAAGACTAGTTTTTAGGACATACTCACAAAACTTCAAATTTTCAATTTGATGAATAGCTATTTATGTCAATTTTTCCAAAATAACACAAGAATATTTTTCTTTCGGAGATAGCGATACTTTGAAGTTTGATTATCAAAAACATAATACGTAAATAAACACTTAAATTTATAAGTAAGCAGTTCAATTTTTGAGTATGTACATCTAGACACTTAATAATTGAATACTTCAACTCAAGTCACATAAATATTTATTTATGTATTATGTCAATTATCAAACATAACAAAAAAAAATTAGAAATCAAATATAAATATCTATTTATGTATTATATCAATTATCAAACGTAACAAAAAAAAAATTAGAAAATTAATTCAAATGTTGTCCAAATACTAGGTAAATATTTGGGCCTAAGAAGCAATAAAAAAAGGGAAAATACATAATAAGGATAAGCCTTGTACAGAAAATTGTATAGTTATTTCTCTTCTTCGGATAAGCTTTAAAACACAGAAAAATTGAAGAAGCTCCTAAGGAGGAGAGCTCCAATCTCCATTAGAGACCAAATTCGAACTTTAGTGAATACCCAAATGGCGATTTCATCGTCTTCACTCTCAGCAGCTCTTTTTCCAATGTGTAATTCATCTTCCATTTCTGCACAACCCAAGTTTTCTCTTCTGTCTTTGCATTCAAATTCTGTTAAGTTACAAGTTTTCAACCAATCTCGAGTGTCTACAACTAAGGTTTTTGCTTCTCCTGAAGTTTTGGATGCCCAGAATGTTGAAGCTGATGTTGAGGTTTGTTAATTATTTGGGCTATTTTCAGTAGACTATACTGTGTGGTTAACATTAAAAAAAATGCTTTTTTTTTGCTGAATTATTGTTGGGTATTCGTCTTTCTACTGAATTGTTGCTGGGTATTCCTCATTTTACTGTATTGTTGCTGGGTATTCGTCTTTTTACTGAATTGTTGCTGGGTATTCGTCTTTTACTGAATTGTTGCTGGTTGTTCCTCATTTTGCTGAATCGATGTTGAGTATTTGTCATTTTGCTTTATTTATAGGATATTCTAGCTGCTTCAACGCTGAGTATTGGTGGTGACTCTGACAAGGTAAACTTTTTCTCTTCCAGTCCTTTAATTTTTTAATTACTAACTGTGGTGTCTGGACCAACTTGCCCGCACTTGGTACCTCTGGGAAGCACTGGTATCAGGTAACTCTGTCTACCGACAAAGGCGAATGTAGCCTCATAGAGCCAACTACTATGATGTTGAGTATAAATATAAAGTTTGTAGAGGTTCACTGAGACTACAACAATTAGTAGGTCTTAATCCATAACTTTTAAAATATTGTAGATTCGATGCTAAAACCCATAGAGTTCAAATTCTGAATCCACCTATATATACCAAGGTTTGAATAGATGGAAAAAATCAACTAGTGCATTTGCCTATCCTAAATTAGTTGAGTTTGCGTATAAGGAATCTTGTGTACACATTCACCATTATTGAGGTGGGGTGGAGATGGTTCAGTGAAAGTAGACTATTTTAGTGAATCTATCTCAATCTGTAACCTTTATTCGCTTGGGACACCGCTGTGCTTTTTGTGAAGTTCATATAGGCAGTGTTTTTAGGGGGTGATGTTTGATGACTCGTGATTCCTTCTGAGATTTCTGCATTGCTTTATGTTATGTGCATTTTGTTTCTATCTAAGAGAATGTAGTCAAGATTTTGCCAATGTATTATGACTAAGATGTTTCCATTTAAACCGTTTATCTCTCATGTAGAAGTTTACACACTAGACAAGTCTTAGGAATCAACCATTTACTGTTTATACAGTATTGGTGTTTGTAACTGATCACTCAAGCTTATTTTTGTTTGTGTTGGTGTGAACACATCTTTTTTTTTGAATTTTATGCTGCAGCCTTAATTGAGATGGATACTTCTTTTTTGTTGGTAACAGTTATGAAATAGGATAGAGCTGTATGTTTGTCCATAGTCTTAATGAAATATTTGTTGTTTGTTTTCTTCTTTGGCTAGTGACTTTAAAATGTATTAGAATGATAACATTCTTTTGCTTGGTGCTGACAAAAGCTAGCCTCATGGCTGGAGGAGAACATGGGGACATGAAAAAAAGAATAGTTGTGACATGCAGATTATCACATCAGAAAACTACTCTATCTATACCACTTAGTGAAGCAACCCTAAAATTCACTTGCAGTGAATTGGAATTTTCTTATAGGGAAATTTGCAATGATGATATAATCTGCTCAACAGCCAGGCAACTTTTGATAAATGAGCGTACAAAGTTCTTCACTGTTAGATTCCTCAAATTGGTGATTGTGGAACCAATTGGTCTTCCTCAGTTACTGAAAGTCTTAAGTAACCTGGAGCTTTAGTAGTGAATTGATTATCTCTTAGCCGTCTCCTCTAAGTAATTGTGTGCGCTGAATAATTTTCTTCTAAGAATTTTTATTGATGCATCAAGAAGCAAAAGTACAGAAATTTGTCTAATGGATAAAGCATGCACGAGCTACATCTAATGCTTTTCGGACCTTTCACTACTGTGTTGGGATGCTTCATTATTATAGTAACAAGGTCATTAATATTACTCCTAGTGTACAATCCTCTTCAAGGATAAATTTGAGTTGTATTTCTCTCTGGCTACTAAGTAACATTGATCGGAAAATATTATTGGTTGAAATGTTCACTTCTATCAAGACTACTTTCATAAAGGTTTGATTAAAGCGATTTTTTGGTTCACTTATTTGCTTGATAGTAATTGTGTTCAGCTATGAATTCTAAAAGAAAATCTTTGAATCATTTCTAGAAGTCCATGTAAGCTGAAAAAATATTAGAATTATAGTGAAACTGGAAGGTGGTGGGTTGCACAGGAGTATGCTGTTTTTAATGAAACTGGAAAGGTCATTGCAGATTCCGCCTTTAACTCTCACTTAGTTATGAATTTTACGAACAGGCTTCCCTCAGTTTATAAGTTTTATCTGTGGGAGTCCCTGCAAAAATATTATTTCAAAGTTAGGATGGACTTGGAAAAGTTATTGTTCGATATGCAAGAGGTGTAAGCACCATGAGGTGTGAAGTGATCTCGGGCTTCTCCTTCCAGCTCTTGGATACTTATTCAGTACGAGTTAAATCTATGAACTTCGCTGAGAAGCGTCCAGTGGCTGTTCTAATTCAGCATTAAGCTCATCGTGGCTGTGTAGTATCAAATTTTACTAGCTCTAGTTAGTATAAAAACGTTGATATTTCTCTCTAATTATTGTAGGCATCATCTAACAATCTAAACATATTTACAGGCAGCTCCAAAGCAGAAGATTAGGATCAAATTGAGGTCATACTGGGTACCCCTAATAGAAGACTCTTGTAAGCAAATTATGGATGCTGCAAGAACGACAAATGCAAAGACCGTAGGTCCTGTACCACTGCCCACCAAAAAGAGAATTTACTGTGTCCTCAAATCTCCACATGTTCACAAAGATGCCAGGTTCCATTTCGAAATAAGAACTCATCAACGTCTTATTGACATTCTTTACCCGACTGCCCAAACTATCGACAAGTTAATGTTGCTTGACCTTCCTGCTGGTGTTGATGTGGAGGTCAAGCTCTGAGTAAAAAATTTCTCCTCCTTGTTTCACATCGTAACCTTGTCTATCTCTTGCTAGTTCCTTTCTGGTTTGGATTTTGTACTCATAGCGACACAATCATTTCTCAGGGAGAAGTAGGGTAAACAGATATTTTTTTTCTGTGTAATGATTTGATTACTTGATTACTGAGCATCTTTTCAATCTCATATCATTGTTACCTTACATGTTCACAATTTTCTTTTCGATGATACATCGCTTATTGCTTGAGAATGCTGATGTCTGTTGATGTTGAGTACTTGTCTAAAAGTAGGAAGAGACTGAATAGAGTTGCTAGTTCTGGTTTAGAATAGAAATCATTGCTGTTTTTCCTTTCCATTACTACTTTGATTTGCTTCACTTGAGGTGAGAGTCTTTTGGGAACAAATCTCTCTAGCTCCACGAGACCTAGGTAAAGTTTGCGTATACTTTATCCTCCCCAGACCCCACTCTCTGGGATTTAACTGGGTGTGTAGTTGCCATTGTTCTTTTGGTCTTGTGCTTTCCAAAAGAGACTTCCTTGACCATTGCTTGATACTTCCACATACAGGCCATACTTTTGTCTGTTTGGTAAGTTCCCAAATTATCATAAGCTTAGAGTATGTTGGTAGAGATCTATGATTCGAGTCTTTGAAAATGGAATCATATAGGAAACATTTTATCCTCAAATAGGACTTTCCAACATGAATAACTTTACCTCCTATCAGGAGTGGCGGAGCCAGAATTTTTTTAAAGGAGTCCAAAAATAGTAACTTGTTATGTTAAGGGTGTCCAAAATAGGTTATTTAATCATTTCGTATATCATTTTACTTGTATATATGCTATTTTTTTTTCGACGAAGGGTGTCCAATTCCTTGACACTATGTGGCATAAAATTACCTTTGCCTTTAGAAGAAAATCTCGTTTTTTTCCCTTGACCTTTAATAAAGCTCCAGGTTGAGAGTAATTTTAGAGTATAGTCGAAGTTGATGGTTAAATTTGGATCGTTTTACACTTAAAGAATTTAAACACGTAGAGTTCACTTATTTCATTCTGAAGCTCTATAAATGACAAGAATAAATACGAAATAATTTGTTAACGATAAATAGATAAATGATAAAATTAAGGCATTTCCTCTCCTCCATTGGAAGTGCTTTAGCTATGTGATCATTTTCTTTTATTATATGCTATATTCCAAAGGTCTTGTGGTCCACATTTCTCATATGCTATAAATAAATAAAAGAAAAAGATTAGTCTCCATAAATCAACATATATTAACAAAAGTAATGCCAACTGGTTACTTTTAAATTTTTAAAGTTCTTTTGTTTATTGGAAAACATAAAGTATCTTAGGAAAAAGTTTTTGATAAACCCCACTCTGAATTGTTAAATACCTAAACTCATCACATGAGAAGAATAGAAAAGTAAAAAACAATAATAAAAATAATAATATGTCAAAACATCTTGTGTTATTTAATTAGTCATGTTTTTTTCAATTAGGATTTCATTAATTTTAAATTAAATTAAAAAATTCATATTCAAGTAAAATGTTACTCACGAATATGACTTCATAATTTCATATTCAAAATTAAAATCAAAATTTCACTTAGCATATTATCGTTGTATTATGTTGTATAAGATGTAAAAAAAGTTCTCATTAGGAAAATCTATTAAATTTTCCTATTCAAACTCGAAATATTTAATTTAAATAATCTCATTTATTCCGTTAAAAAAAATATTATAAAATAACTACACAAGTTTATTATTCCATGGTAGCCTTCTTCTTTGCCATATCCCTTTACTAGCCGCCACATATTCTCCTCCCTCCATACAATTTGCTTCCATGTCCACTAATTTACTTGGATCACCATTTCTTCTCAAAAATGTACTAACAATTTCTCCTTATAACAACAATAAACTATCCATTTTCACCATTAAAGCTTGTTTACACTCTTCAAGAACCAAAACCCCTAACCCAAACAAGTCTCAAATTGATGATCATGTCTACAACTATACAAAATATTGCACACCCAATTTCCCTGACCATGTTTCTCAAACACCCATTTCAGAAAAAGAGCTAAAAAACACCAGGAATGGTGGAATTTTGGATGATTTTGAAAAAAAAGGTGTTCTTGATTTATGGTTAAAAATGCAAGATGAGGCTAGATTTGATGTTGAGCAAGAACCCATTTTGGAAAATTACTATAAAAATTCAATCTTGGTTCAAGATTGTATGGAAAGTGCTTTGGCATACCATTTGTCTTTGAAATTGAGCAATTCAAGTTTACCTAGTGATGCCCTTTTTGAGCTTTTCATGGGGGTGTTGATAGAGGATCAAGAATTGATTTTTGATGTTACAGATGATTTAAGAGCTGTTAAAGAAAGGGATCCTGCTTGTGTTAGTTATGTTCACTGTTTCTTGAATTTTAAAGGTTTTTTAGCATGTCAAGCACATAGGATATCACATAGGTTATGGTCTAAAGGTAGAAAGATTGTAGCTTTAGTTATACAAAATAGGGTGTGTGAAGTTTTTGCTGTTGATATTCATCCTGGTGCTAAAATTGGTAGTGGGATTTTGCTTGATCATGCTACTGGTGTTGTTATTGGTGAAACAGCTGTGATTGGTAATAATGTGTCAATTTTGCATAATGTGACATTAGGTGGTACTGGTAAAGTGTGTGGTGATAGGCATCCAAAGATTGGTGATGGTGTTTTGATTGGTGCTGGTACTTGTGTTCTTGGAAATGTTAGAATTGAAGATGGTGCTAAGATTGGTGCTGGTTCTGTTGTGTTAATGGAAGTGCCTGCAAGAACTACTGCTGTGGGGAATCCAGCTAGGTTGATTGGTGGAAAAGAAAATCCAATCAAACTTGATAAAATTCCTAGTTTGACAATGGACCATACTTCACATATGTCTGATTGGTCTGATTATGTAATTTAGACTATTGGTTTGTTCTGTACGGACTTAGAGATCAAATATAATATGTTTTTTCGTTTCACTTCATCTTACATAGTTGGGATACTTTAAAGAAACTTGAGTAGATATAGGTTGCGCTAGAGCTAAATTGCTTCAAATCTTGTCTTCTCGTTGTGAGACGGATTGGTTTTGTTTTTTTCTATATCCATATAATTTATGATTTAGAAGTATTAATCGTATAATAAAAGCAAATCTTATGTCCATGAGGTCCCAAGAAGGTAAAGTTCTCCGACTTGTCCAATGGTTCTTTCTCCAAACACGATATACAAGTGGAAACTGTACTATGAGCAAGTTCTAATTTGTCATTGGAGAGACATCAATAATTGGTAGCAATGTGTGATATTTTGCTTTGTGTGAGTTTGCTTATGTTGTAGTAATCCGTGAGGTATGATGTAGATAGCTTATACGTCAACGATTACTAATCAGTGACCCATATACATTGGGTTCGAATAATAAAATGTATTGCCTATGATTTGAACTTGGAATTCCTAAACAAACATTGAACCCCGTAAATCACCAAGCCAACTTCTAGTCTTGTGTTCACGGGAAATTTCTGTATATACACTAAAAAATAACTTGTATATACCCGTTCCCCCTTCTAACTCCGCCCTACCTATAAGTCATACATAGATAATTTTACCGCCACACTTGAGTTTTAAAAATATGATTAATATTATTTCGTGTAGTCAACTCCAAACTTTAGTTATTATTCAATAACTTTGCATATATACTCAACAAAGATACACTATCAATCCTTTGGGCCAATATACAAAAGAATAAAATGAGGCCCACACTCTTTTGGGCCTAGTATACAAAAGCCCAATTCAAATAAAAAGGCCTGTTTTACATCCGTCGGCCCAATCCCCCACAAATATTAAATCTAGGGTTAGGGTTTTCAAAATTTTATGATAAATAAAGCTGCAACTATTGCAAAGTCATTCAACCTCACTAAGTTATTTTCTCTCTAGAAAGTTATTTTAATTGGAGAATTTTATTTCTCTCTAATACAAGTAGAAATTCATGTTTTATTCTTATTTGATCAATTTAAATTCGTGAGCTTCTCCGCTCTTCATATTGGTTTGACTAATTTAGATTTGTGTCGTGTTTCTTTATTTATCATGATCCATGTTGCTGACTTCTCGTCATGAATTACATTTATTTTTCAGTTTACATTTTTGTGGATTTGATTAATTTAAATTTGTGTCGTGCTTTTGTTGCATTGTCCATGCTCCATTATATTATATTTATGAAATTTATTGAATTGACTAATTTAGATTTGTATCGTGTTTAGTCGTTGTAGACTTTTAAATTAAATAAAGTAGTTGGGAAATGATGAGAATATATTGATACATCAGAGGGACAGTTTAATCTGTGCTTTGCTGAATAAATTTTGCACGTCAGTCTGATCCCAATTACTTCTAAATCTTTTGTTTCAATAATTTTATTTCTCGAAAAACAATTAAATTATAGTTTTATAGTTTTGGTGTTTTATATATTTGCAAGACTTTTTTGAAATTATTTATTATTTTAATGGTAGTTTGGATGCTTGTTGAAAATAACAAGTATTTAAGATATACATAAGTATTATTTTGAATGAAATTGTTACTGGAGTAAATTTTAGGAAGTGTATATATTAATTAATACTATGTAGAAAGAAAAATATTAAACAAAATGACCTTATTTGACAATTATTTGTTGATATGTTGGTTTTTTTTTTTTGAGGATTGGGGTTTAATTTCAACTTGTTTCAAATTTTAATTTTAATTTTAATTTTTTTAGTTCTTAAATGACTGTAATTTTTCATTAAAACAATGACGTGTAAAATATTTAATTAGTTGGCAGTTATTGAGTGGCGTGTCTCAATAAAAAAAATAGTATAGTTAAAGCGTCTATTTGTGCATCGTAAAAAGTTTGAGGTCATACTTAAAATTTAAAGTCAAGTTTAAGGGCAAATATATGTATTATGCCTATATTATACTTGTGCTTAAAATTGTGGTTAAGTAAAATTGTAGTAAAAACAAATTTTTTAAAATTTGTCTAAATAAATGAGATATAATAACTCTTATGTGTCCTAACTTCTTGTAATTAGAAGATTAACTGTTAATAGTCATTAACTATCAAATAAAGTTAATCTTAAATTAATTTTGAAATTATTGTTTTTAACGGAAAAAAAGGGAGTACTAATCAAGGAGTAAATAATATTTTAACGAGCACCTATTTTACCAAAAGGACTCATGAAAATTTATCAAGAGAATAAATAATTAAATCATCATATATCATGTAAAATTATAGTTGAAATTAAGTGAGAGTAAACTTTTGACATCAATCTATATATCACGTTCAATTGAACTATGAAATTTGATTAAATTGATTCTAATTACACTTCGAACATTGACCTAATATATCATTTTCAAATCTTTTTAATGAAATTTTTATCTCCGATACAAAAGTGAATAAAGATACTTCTTAGAGGCAGAGAATATGTCATTTTTTTAGTAGTCGATGTAAGTGAACTTTGTATTCCCTTTTCTTCAATGTTGTGAAGGATTTGAAGTACAACATACTTAATTATCATCTCCATTTCAACAAAAACTATGTCATTTAATATAATTTCATAAGTAGCTGTGAGAAGGATAACGTAGTTTCACTTTGGGACGGAATTAGGTGGGTGCAAGTTTGACGACAAAGTGAATTATTTTTTAATGAATATATAGTAGATCAATGTTGGATCTCTTCAACCTTTTCTTTTACTTTTTCATATTTGGAACTATTTATTCAAATTTTTTCGTTCTACGTATCTTGTGAAGGTAGAGAGATTCTTCGAATTCTCCCATTCAAAAGAAAGGTTCGAAGGAAATAACATTTCTGATAAATCCTTAATTGGTGTAACCGATATAAAAAGAACAATTTTATAATAAAGAAATACAACGATGAAAAGATATTAACCTATGCAAATATTATGATAACCAAAGTAAAAGGTAATAAAAACACACACAAAAAATAGTGCCAGACAATATGAATTATAGCTGCCTAGTAAAGATTATTTTTGCCAGCTGCTTCTAGCTAGTTTTAGTTTTTGGCAAGCATGAGGAGACAAAACAAGTGATCATGTCTGTCTAATGTTTTTGTGCAAATTTCATATTTTACACAAGTTTTGGCCTCCATGTTTATAAGTAGGGTTGGAACAACACATGGTCATTGTGGTCTTAAGAATGAATCATTGCCCTTTTTCGAATATAAAGATTATATCATAAATGCTTTAGGATATGTTCAAAATATGTTTACAGAATATCGCTATACATATAATTCAACTTGAATGATACAAAATACTCGCCTCCCACCCCTACCCCCAACTATGCATTAAACTACATGTATGTGTTAGTGGCGAATCATTTCAAGATATTACTATATAATTATGATATACTTTTTTTTCTCAATTGATCCAACACACCTATGGTTTAAACTATAGAGATGTGATTCACTGGTGATAAATGGATGAATTGCGCCAAGGTGTTCGAGATTTGTCATATATATATATATATATAATGAGTGTTTTATATATATACAATATAATTTTTGAGATAAATATTTAATTTATTTGCGAGTCGCCTTTATAGCTTTTGGTTTTGGCAAAACATGCATGGGAGACAAAAGCAGGGTGTGTGTGCCTAATGTTTGTCGAATTCCCACTTGGTGCAAAATTCATGTTTACCCATGTTTTGCCCTTCTTGTCAACAAGTAACTAGGGTTGAAATAGTACAAAAACATCGAGATTTAAAGTTTATGAATTTTTAGAATCATCATAAGTTAATATTATAATAATAAGTAAATTTATATACAAATATTCACATGTTTAGGTAACAACGATTCTTTAGATTCACCCCTAAGTTACGAGTTCATTCTTAAAAACACCAATTTTAAGAATATATAATTGTCTTCTATACATATAATTTGTATACTCGTAATGAGTTATGTACCTTGATTGAAAAAGAATCATAAATCTCTATCATGGAAAGAAATATTTTTAATGAAATTTTAACACGTGAACCTACAGAAATTGACCGGAAAGTTTCCCTAAGAAAAATGTAAGTCTTCTTTTTTAAAAATAATGGACATTAATTTGTTTCTAGGTGTGTACCTATTTCTTTAGCAATTATACTCCCATATATGAATTAGGTTAAGTAAATTTAATTTGGTACTAGACCTCACAACCCTTTGAAACATAGACTTTCTTTTTATAATAAAGTTTAATGATTCATAGGGGTCCAAATGACATTGAGAAAGTAAGGCACCAAATGAAAAATAAAAGCAAAAGAGAGTTAGGATTATTTTTTTTTTCGTTTTTCGAATGTTTGATATTTGTCTTGAAGTTTTAATTAATTTAATTTTATGTTAAAACTTATTTAGCAGCGAATCACTCTTTATAAGAATTTTTCTTTATTCATAATTTAAATTTGAAACGTCTAATTGATGGTGAATGAATCTTATCCATCCAACATGGTTTTTTATACTCATGACTTGAAAGTTAGTTACTAACATATAAAAAACTCGATAAATATCAAGGACTAACTTTTATTTGAATCATATATAATTATATGTATAAGCTATCCATATTCAAATTGAAAAAAAAAATCAAAAATCATTTTGTCTTCATATCCAAAGACAATATAAGAATATTATTAAAATTAGTATATTAGGTTTTATATATATACTAAAAATAAATGGCACATAAGTACTTTGACTTAGAGTTCAACATGAAAAAGGAGTTACCAGATACTAAAAATGGTATTTGGTCTAATTGTGGCACCTATAATCATCGATTTATCATAGCGGAAAATATTAAAATTAAATTTCAAATTATCAAATTAAATTGATATATTAATTTAAAATTTTGAAAATCGAAATTATCATACCTAAATTATCGAACATAGAAAGTTCTGTTGTAAAATTATAATATTATAATATGTATTTTTATTTAAATCATGAAAGGCATACAAATTACTCAAAAGTCTCCTGTATAAAAATAAACATTGACTTGTAGCACTCCAGTTATTATTGTTGTTGTGGTTGACATTATTATTATTATTATTATTATTATTATTATATATTATTATTTATTAATTATTTTTTAACTTGAATAAGCAATAAACATGCATGAATGAAGAATAAAGTACGAAAATTCAATTACGATAAATATTTCATTATTTTATTTCTATACAAATTTAAATTTAATCTAAACTTAATGTAAATGTTGAATACTTGAATAAAAATTAAAACAAAAAATATTAATTAGCAAAAACACATATGTGAAAAATAAACACTTTATCATATATTCTCCCACCTTGTTAAATAAATAAATAAGTTATTTCTCCTTCTTTATTAAATGTGGTCCAGAAATATAACAATTTTTTTTTACATAAACTTTGATTATCTTTTGCTTAAGCAAATATACAAACAAAACTTTGTTTGTCTTTTTTGGTTTAATAGTTAGGAAAATTTCGCTATTTTCTTAAAGATATGACTTATTTGAGCACAAATAATTTACAATTGATGCTACTCATACCTTAAATTAGTTGTATAATAATTGTTGAGTTTATAATTAAATATATAAAGAAATTTATGTTTTATACAAATATGATATGAGTAAAAATTATCGATCAGTAATCAATCTTTTAAATTCGCCTTTGACATTTAGTCCTAATAAGGGTTGAATTGGACTATTTGAAACCCCTAATCCTTTATCATTCGATATTGATTACATACAAAACGTTGAACTTGACTAATTGAAACCTCGCGAAAAGATTTCAACCATCTTATCTCACGGTATTTTATGTCTTTATATATATTGGCCATATTCAGGGATGGCTCGACAGTGTTAAAAAAAAAAGACATGTGTCTTAGGCCTCAAAATTTAAGGGGCCTCATTTTTAATTATAATAGGTTATAAGTTATTGTTTTCTTTAATAGATATTGAATACTATTCGTAGAAAAAGTAAACTTTTTCGTGAAAATGAATGAATTATTAGAAGGAATTTGTCATATTTGGAGTACTATATCTCATGAAAAATAGTTTAAAACAAGAATCGTTAATATCATCAATTGAAAACCAGAAGAAATCAATTATATAAAAATTATTAACGATTCAAATTTAAAACCCCATTTAATTTTTACTTTAGATTAATAATATGTTTGAGCCGCTCCTGACCATATATATTACGTAATAACCCCACCTAGTATTCGACGATTTGCCACAACCAAATATACATAAAAACAGACATATACTCACGTAATCTCATTCACGGACCGCTACCTCCATCTACTTGTCTTATTTATTTATTTATTATTATTTTTATTTTTTTTAAAAAAATAAGATAAAAGTTATATAGATCTTACTTTTTTCAGACTTCGGATAT